TTTTGGAAACTGCCAACGGCTATCTCGGGAACCGATAGAGCTACAGCGCCGCGGAAAAGCGCATTCGATAGCCCTTTTACAGACCTTTCTGAGTAATGTTCTCAGATTTGACCTCAGGTCAACGGTTTAGCCTTTAGAGGGCAAAAACTTCAAAAATAGCCGTTTTCACGAAAAGTGGTTTTTTGGCAATAACTTTTGACTCAAAAGAGCCATGACATTACTTTTGCCAGCATCGTGTTCCTCTCGTCGAGACGCGTCGAATGAACTATAATTTGACCTTGAAAGGTCAGCTTGAAAATTTGACCTCAGGTCAAGGTCATGACCTGACCGGAAAAGGTCATGTTGCATATCAGTCGATCCGCAACGTCGAGCCGAACACATCTAAGGCGTTTTCAGCGCTCTAGCACGCCTCTATTAGAAGTTATTAGCGAAAAACTGATAGATTCTGTTCGTGACCTGAGATGACCTCGGGGACATAACGAGGGGTCACAGTTGCCATTTTCCGGTTCAGTGTGTCAATTGTACCTATATCTCGATGTTTGAGTGTCTAGAATAGCGTTCGTGCAAAACAGACGCTTTTCAATTTTCTCCCATTGACTTATAATGGAGAGGCCGCAAAATTGACCTGACCTTAGGTCACCGATATCAAAATTCCGAGATATACATTTTGTAGATATATTTGCTCTTATCAATCGCTGAAAGTTTCAAGGCAATCGATCAATCGGTGTAGCTATGACGAGCATTCCTATTTTTTCTGAGGTGAGGTCACTTGGCGTGACCTGGTGACCTGACCTAAGGCGACCTGGGTCTGAAATTTTCACAACATGTGCGGAAAAGATGCACGAACAGGTGTGCCAAAAACGGCGGCGCTCCGCGCCGCCCTTTTTGAGATATCTGCGAAAAACCGCAGGGGGGGGGTGTTCAAACACCTCCCCCCCCCCGGCCCGGCGCGGGTTAATCGCCTGAGCAAAAAATTAAGCATAAATTTTAAGTTTTTTATTTTATAGCAATTTTAAATACTGTCTCAAATAGCCCCACTGTCTCAAATGGCCCCACCTTACGGTACTCCTACTCCTATTTTCTCTCAGGATCTGCTGTGATGCCGTTTTTGTCTGTGAATAACCGTAGGTCATGGTGTGGCTTTGAGATGTAAAACTGATGATCGAAAAATACAACATGATCATCACCGTTCATACAAATTCAACAATGATAAAAACCAGGGATGCGGAGCCATGGAAATTTCAGACGGCTCCGGCTATGGAGAAAAAAAATCGGCACCGGCTCCGGCTTCGGGTGAAATGTCATGGCGACTCCGGCTCCGGCTCCGGCTCTGAGTAAAATATCCGGCTCCGGCTCCGACTCAGTACATCCCCTATGCGAGGGGATGTAGGTACTGAGTCGGAGCCGCAGCCGCAGCCGGAGCCGCCGGAGCCGGACCATTCTACTCGGAGCCTCAATTAACCCTCGCCCGTATTGGTGTTTTTCCAGCCGCGAACGTATAAGGGGGGGGGGGTCCGTTGGACCCCCCCCCTTGCCGTTTCGCCCCTGATCGAGCTAGAGCTTCGCGGAAAAACGAGCGTGTTGCCCGTGACGAGAGGAAGCCGATGATACCCAATTTTAAGGTCCTAGGTCATTGGTTGACCTTGCAGGTCAGGTCAAAGACCCCAAAGGCGGGAAAATCGGGACCTGTTAGAACGTCGTAAAGTGTGGCTGCTATGGGGTTTTTCGGGGTGCTGATCACGAATATCATGTTAGTTTTGATCACAGATGATGTCTTCATGTATTTAAGCCAGGTCGGGTCAGGTCAGGTCAGGTCAACCAGTAAGGGTATTCGTAGTAGGTGGCAACCGCCTCTGACAGCTTCGTAACATGTTACGAAGGCACCAAAACTACTTCGTAAATGTTCATATGGTTGCTAAATTCGAATTCAGCTCCAAAAACTGACCTAGAAACATGTAAAACTCGAAAAAGTGAACCGAGGTCACCCGAGGTCATCAAAGGCCAATGACCTGACCTGACCTTCAGGTGACCTTGACACCCACCCTAATGCATGGGGGCAACATCATATCACATGTTTGAACGCTTGAAACCACGAAAAGACTGCAAACGCGCGGCTAATGCGAGCCGACATACGCCGAATCGCGATTCCAGCCAAACATGGTCTCGAAAAGTAGGTCACAGGTCAAAGGTCATTTGGGTCAGGGTCATGAAATTTTCAGGGTAGGCGTGAAATTGATGAACGCGAGGGTACTGAAAGTTTCGTCGCGATCGGCCGCTTTTTACGCGAGTTATTCGCGAAAAACCATGGGGGGGGGGGTCCGTTCGACCCCCCCTATACGGGCGAGGGTTTTAAACATGCGTGGCCAAAACAATTGCCGTCACCTGATGACCGGCCCTCAGGTTCTGGGGATGCAGGACGTGGGCAGGAAGGAGCAGACAGGAGGTTGATTGCGTACTGTGGGACACTGGGGATACGTATTCAGCTTTTTTCATTCACGTGATGGCCCATGACGTACCATATAGGTATGTTTTACTTCCTTGTACTGTCAAACCGAACTAGGTCAATTATTTTTCCTCTTAAAAAAGAACCCGGAGTCGCCCGCTTCTTTGACGGCTCCGGCTCTGGCTCCAGCTCCGGGCTATATTGTCTCACGGCTCTGGCTCCGGCTCCGGCCCTGGGCAAAATGTGATGGCTCCGGCGGCTCCGGCTCCAGCTCCGGCTCCAGCTCCGGCTCCGCATCCCTGATAAAAACAATGACCGGGGACACCAAGCCACTTACTCCCCGTTAGCCATGTTCGTTCAATGTGATTGCCGTCTGCGCCGACGAAGGCCTCGACGCGGGGCGGAAGCGCCTACGGGTCTTGAAGACGGACGACATTTTTAGATTCTCCCATGCTGCCTGATGCGTGTCTTCAGCGACTCCAGCTTGGGATGAAAAGTGGCCTGGAGCTTATTCTACAGAACGCTCGGCGCACTTTTGTCGATCGTATTGAGGTCGGAGGAATAAGGTGTCCTAACCCTCGCCGGCCGAGGGGGGGGGGGCGGGTGCCACCCCCCCCCATAGGTTTTTTTTTCGCGATAGCTCCGAACACGCTGGCGATAGAGAGCTGAAACTTGGCATACCTGACCTTTGATTCAAGCCGGATCTTTTGACACCAACCGCGTTTTTGGGTCAGGTCAGGTCACTGACCTATGACGTCATAAGTGAACCTCTGCACGGTCTTCAGATGTCGCAACTTCGCAACGCCCTCACTGCCAGAGGAGATGTCACAGGGAAATGAAACTTGCAGGATCTAGTATCCATTATGAGTCCCACAACTTGTATATCTCGGATTTTTCCTAAAGGTCATATGAGGGCAGGTCATTTTTGTGACCTCACCATTATAAGTCAATGGGGAAAAATGAAAACTGCTATTCTGGCGCCGGGAACGATCTCCAACTATCTCAAGCACACAGAATCGTGATTTGATGCACTCCTTGCAAGGTTAGACGCGTCACTTTTGCAATGTTGACCTTGCGTGACGTCATTTATGACGTCATCAAGGTCATATTAGTTTTTCGTCAATAACTCCCGATCAAATGGAGCTAGCGAGTCGTGAAAGCCACCAATGGACTCAGGAAGACCTGCCGAAGCGAACGATATGCGACATGACCTCTTTCGACCAACTTCGTGACCTGGTGGTGCTGATCTGACCTTGACCTGAGGTCAACACCCGAAGTTGACCTGACCCGAACAAAAAGTATATCATTCGACGCGCCTGAGCAAGGCGAACACGATGCTGCCAAAATCGCGGATCTGCGACCGTTGTTTGCGAAGTTATTCACCAAAAACTGAACCGTACCTTGGGGCACTTGACCTGACCTCAGAGGTCACCGGTTGACCTAGGACCTTAAAATCGGGTACCAATCTCTGCGTCTCGTAACGGCGCACACGCTCGTTTTTTCTGCGACGCGCTAGCTCCACCAGGGGCGAAACGACGAGGGGGGGTCGTACCCGCCCCCCCCCCCCTCGGCCGGCGCGTATGTAGAAAACCAATAGGTCCGGCGAGGGCTAATCTCATTCTGCCACAGCCCACAGGCGAATGTGATCTGACCCGCCGAGCTCCCGTTTTAATTGGGCTTGGAGGCAGCGGCGTGAAAGGCGTTCCGTGCTGTTGAAATGCGAAGTGACCCTTATGGGCAAGTCACCTTGACCCTCCGTTTGATATGCCTGCCTAGGAACCCCGTAGAGCAGCTTGTTATTCATTTATTTGACGTTGAGGAAGACGATGGGACATTTCTGTCCATCAGACGACCCCGGATTTTCTTCGACTGCCGCTGAAATGCTGCTACAGTTTCGGCAGTTTTGACCTACCGTGGCCGTACCGGCCTGAGTATATTTTTTAGTGCATTCCCGAGTCGGAATAAACCTTTATACCTACTGAACCATTCGCCGAGAAACGCCACATCGTGCTGCAGCCTGCAACTCACGCCTCGTTCAAGCCGCACCCGGCCTCTGCGCATAGGCATCCAGCGACAAGGCGCATCTTCGCCCATCTACCCATTACTGAACACGATTTCAAGGTCATATTTGCACGACCCCCAGCTGACCGGTCAACGAAGGGTCATGCCTGCGGTGATTGGCCGATTGTCCAATGATCACAGCGCGCGTTAGACGGCGTGCGTCCAAGGGAGGCGTCGGAACTTTCCAGATACCCTGTAGTTCTCATGACTTGGTGTGCAGTGTTCGGTGAACTTCTTTTTTGCAAACCGATACCGATTTTTTGTCTTGTTGCTGAGCTGGACGCATTACTGCAATGCACAAGGTTATTTTAAGACCAATCATTTTCAGAGGAAAATCTCTGCACCCTTGAGTCCAGATATGAGAGGACATTTTTTTCGTGCAGGATATTTGCACCATATTATGAGTCTGCAATGACGGGCGTGGCGCATTACGTTCTTTCTGTCGGCGTAGTGGCTGGGCACGGCTAACGAGGTATATAAGCCGTGCTCCGCGCTTTGTGCAGCACCATTCGGCGTCAACGGTGATCAAGGTGTGTTCGCGGGGTGCAAGGTGTGTCCGTAACTGCCTTTACCTATAATCGTATACATTCATGGAGATACGTGCTACTGCCTCTGCCTTTTCTTTTCATTTTATTTGCTGATCAGGTGTTTCGGGCTCTGCTTGTCTGTCGATTTTCTTGCGAGCACGACACAACTTACTGTTGCGAGTACGACATAACTTAGTAATATTTAAAATGTGACATAGTTGACTTAGCGATTTTCTGGGGTGAAATTTTCATGAGTCATTCAATGTTCGGCTTATTGAATGTGGCGTGATTTCAGATGCGGCTGATTATCCCATTGGTGACTGTGGCGCTGGCTGGCCTGGCCACGGCCAGTGGCGGCTTCGCTTTTGGCGGCTCTGCCCTGGGTGTCAGCGGCCTGTCGTACGGCGGAGCCGGTCAGAGCTATGGCGGAAACGGTGAGAGCCACTCAGACGGGCGCCATTATATGCCGGATACTCTACTGACAGTCGTATCTTTCGCTGAGCAGGAACCAATCAGACAGGCAAAAAGAGCGGGACAAGAATCATCGGGAAGGACCCAGTGATTGTTTCGACTCTTTTAAAAACGGAAGCCTGTTGATGCAGTCATTCGGTTGAATGATTTTATGGGTACATAGTCACGAACGCATCAAGTTGTTTCACGACGGGCGTAGCGGGAAAGCTCAAACGGCACCCTATTTGACACACTAAGAGACCACAATTTTTAGCGTGTCGTATTTGTACCGGATGCCGTGAATAAGTGTGGTGCGCGGTGTTGATTGCAGGTCCGCTCGGCCTCTTCTACTCGTTCCTGGACCCGTACCTGCGCTACCAGGAGTTCACCTGGCACGAGGCCAACTACCTGTGCCAGAGCCGTGGCATGCAGCTCGTCTCATTGGACAACTACCAGAAGGATAGCCTCGTGTCACAGCTGATCGGATATTACGGTAAGTGAGGTTCTACGAACTCTACGAGGAATTTACATGCCCATTAAAAAATAGTCGGCTCCAATTTGGCAATGCTCCCGTGAATTGCCAACATATTTACGATGCAATGCATTTCAATGGAACTTGCGGATTACGATAAACCAGTAATGAAAAACTTGTTGAGTTTACGGTAACGAGCTCATTTTTAAAGCAGATGAAGCAACTGAGTCAGGTACACATTTCGATAATAACCCATATCACGAAATTTTACACAACCGACCAAGCATTTCCTTTCGTTTCCGTCTTTTAGCTGTATTTTTATATGATTAAATAATTGCATATGATACTCCTGAGCAGCGCTGGACGGACATGTGGCTGACGTTGCCGTACTTTGGTCACAGGCGTCCGATGGATCTGGACTTCCGGACAGCGGTCTGGCTACCAGTTCTACTGGGCCAACGGCACCCCGGTCGGCCTGTACCACAACAACTGGTCGTACACCGGCAGCCAGGGCATCCCGCAGCCGGACAACGCCGAGGGCAACGAGTACTGTCTGGCTGTGCTCAACTACTTCTACCAGGACGGCATCGTCTGGCACGACATCGGCTGCTCCCACCGCAAGTCCTTCGTGTGCGAGCCCTACTACCGCTAATCGTCGACCCCGTGATCCTGCTGATGCCGCTGCAGTGGCACCTCAACCTGTTTGTGAACTTCTCCTTTTTGATCTGCAAGCGAAAAGTTTGCTCAAACTTTGTGTATGGACAGAACAATATAAACTGAACGTGGCCATGCGCGTGGTTTAACGCCGAACGATGTTTTGGTCGAGCGATTGAAGATTTGGAGAAAAGGTCGGAACGCCGATGAGGTTTCATGCATGAACGGTAGACTTACAAGAAGTGTGTTTTATGAGTTAGAATATGCGTAAAGTGAATTGCTTGAAATGCTTGTCCTCCGGAAAATCGCTACGTTTGCATTCTATTTAAGTCACGTCCAACTCAAAATTAATTTCAAATATTGTCACATCCCAAGCTGAGAGGTTGGTCTCGACTATTCTGTCAAAGATAACCGATTTCATCTATTCAGTATTTATGCAGCGCAGCCATACCTAAGTACGTTCATAAAATGCAAAAACTGCCATTAATTAAGGTAATACGAACTGAAAGTAACTTCTACATTTTAGGGCAGAAGAGCATAACTCTACGCCATACTTAAGATCTTAACTAGTTTGCGACATTGTGCTTGATATCGTATTATCCTCTACAGAATTATCATTTAATCACCTCTGCTCAATATCATGGCGCCCACCGGCGACCCATTGGCCGGCATTCGTGCCTATTGTGCATGATTCGTACCGAAACGGTGCACCTGCACCCCTGCAGCTGCCAGAAGCGGGGAAACAATGCTGCAATTTCAAAGCAACTGGCCTAGGTAACCTGACTCGGCACACAACTATACTTACAGGGACAATGTCGGATGATTTACCTCAGCAACGTGAGCATACAATATTTGGTTGGGTGTTTTCATGCGTACGTAACGTTGCAACGCTTCAGTGTTCGTTGATAGACAGGCGACTTTACTGGATGCCTGATGTTGGTTTTGTAGCTTACTTATTTACATCGCATAAATCCAGGTTCCTCCCATAATCGTTTGCTTTCATATACTGATTACACACTCGTAATCGGTCGAACTTGTATTATTTGCTGACAATCAAAGAATCCAGACCTTTACAACAGGTGATAAGACAATTGAGTCATCAAATAACACGTTCGATTTCAACGTGCCCCCGCTGGGCACCTTTTCAGGCACCAGACAATCCTCGTCTCACTAGTATGAATCAACAACTATGAGCGTCTATCGCCACACCAAGGCACTATCTAAGTCTCCACAAAGAACATCCAATAACTAGGTTCATTAACCTGACATTTCTGTTGCACCCTGTATTCGTTCGTATCTCTCGCACTGCTCTGTACTCGTACTCAACAAAGTGCACACTCACTGAAGCATTCTGCCAATCTGCGAAAACTTCTGGTCGAGCGCTATCCTATCGTCGTAGAGGGACGGTGCTTGCAGGATGATCCCTGCAGTCCCCACAACCACAGCCAGGGTGAAAATCCACAGGAACAGACGATCCAATACCATGGCGACATACTTCCAGTCCTCCTTGAACTGCGAACAAACAAGACGGTCATTCTACACCTAGCTACCAGTAAACACTAACCATGATGACTGACCAGCCTGAAAACATCGGACTCGTTCCGAAGAAAGTCAACTTTAATTATCCTGAGATGAGACGAAACCTCCGATCTTGGCACAGTACCAATTAGGAATAACTTACAAAAGTATATCATAAATTCAAGTCGATATTATCACAATATTAGGTCAGTCGTGTTTGAGAATGTCTCCGACATCTATGACAGAGCCAAATCCTTCCGTGCTCACCTTATTGGAGTTCTCCTTCATGCGGGTGTTCTCGGCGATAAAGCTGACGCACCAGCAGGTGCGGTGCACGTCCGGGTGGCAGCCGAGCGGCGACACGCGGCTGCTGCGCCGGTGCTCCAGGTCCAGCGTGTCGATGCCGGGGCCCTCGTTCAGGAACGACTGGTGGCCGTGCACCTGGCACGACGCCATCAGACCGTCGTCCGGGGCGTGCCTGCCGTGCGTAACGCGTCAGCGATCTGTCTCAATTTCCGCCGAGTTAGCGCATACACAAGCAGTGGGACCGTTCGGTATTATAATATTTATGATCACTAACGCATAGCGGGACCTGTTGCAGGGCTTATGCATAATACATGCTAGCTATGCGCTATAGGAGGGCTTTGGAGGTATGTATTTGCGCTTCTGATTGAAAATGTGCCGATCCCGTAAGATGCCAGCCAGACTTACAGCGGAGAGTAATCGGAGATGAGGCGAGGCTTGGTGTTACCCGGGATCAGTCCATCCTGATGAAACACCATCTCTTGGACCTCCGAACTTTTCCCGTTCTGTCGCACTAAGACGCGGCTGGTGTTGAGAGCAACGCTGCAAAACGGACACGAAATGGGAAAGAACGGCTCAGGTCGGTACTCACTTCTCAGTTACAAAATTGATGCCTATAATTATGGACGTATTAGCGACAATTTTAATTAGGGTTTGATAGGCATATTTTGATTACAACTTAGTACACAGGCAAACGTAAAGTTAAATTTTATAAAGGTTAACATCAATGCGTGATATCTAAAAATAATGGGGTCCCGCTTCGCAGAATTATTGACCAATGACCAAGAATGAACAGCTATCACTGACGATAGCAGCGTCACTTACCCATGTTTGTTGAGGCGGTATTGAGGCCTCTTCATCATCAGAAGCCGGGGTAAAATATGAATAAACACCCTTTTCACCCACGGCGCCATGCGGTGCGTCTGAGGCGACCGGAAGTGAACGTTCAGCACAACCACGGTGACGCCGATGCTGAAACAAGGGATGACGATGGTTACGACAACGGTATTGCAAAAGCGGACACTTTTTAGTGGGGATCGAATATCGATTATGCGCTTAGAGGGCAGTATTGAGGCAAAATTTTGTTTGCTTTTACTCTACAATCTACAACCAAATGGAATATATGTGATCAGGGTTACTTTTACAGGAAAATTCGAGAGGGGAATAAAGTTCGGGGCAAGGGCGGATCCAGGGGCATCTGAAAGGGGGACCCAATGCCATTAGGTTTTTGTTACGATGGCGCCTGCAGAACCTTACCTACCCCCAAATCCTACTCTCTCCCCGGATTCTGGCCACTTTATATTGTTAGGTTGCCAAAAAATAAATTAGCTAAAAAATACACGTAGGTACCTACCTTGGCGGTAAGGGGCGGGGGAGGTCCCAACTTGACTGCGCCCTTGCAAATGTCAATCAGTATTAGCCGTTTTCACGGCGGCCATCTGGTACACATTTGGTGCAGATTTGGTCAAATCAGGTTCAGTGTGTCTCTTGGCAGCTATCAGCTAGGGTTGCACTAATGGCTTATATGCCTGCTTTGTCATATTATCAGAGAGCATCATCGATTAAAACACTGAAATAACTTCATAAAATGAAGATATTTACTGCAAAAGAAATTAGGTGCAGATTTGGTCAAATCAGGTGCATTGGCCGGATAGCCCGTCGTGAAAACGGCTAGTATCAACCTATTTCCCTGGCCAAATATCAAGTAGCGCCTTTCTAAATAGAGAGAGGTTAACACGTGACTATTTTTGTTAGGCCAAGACCGATTGAAGGACCCTGGTTCGAAGGAAGACCCTTGGTTCGGAGAGGTCATGACCCCCGTCCCCCGCCGCTTTCTACGCCGACGCCTGTAGCGATATGTCAGTGATTGCGAAGAGACGGAAGAGACAAGACAAGAGACGGTCCCACCGACCATCCGATCGGTATCGGGTCAAATCTGGAGTTCCCGCTGCACTGAACGTAAAATGGTTGGATGGAACCTCAAATTGAAAATTATCTAAGCGCCAGCAACGTTGATTGATGACTAGAGTCTGATCAACGATGATTATAGAATCTGAGTAGCGAATTGATTGAAAATGGGCTCAAAAATAAATTTGAAAGGGGGAAATTCCCCCTCCCCTCCCTAGCCGTTCACGCACAATTTGAAAGGGGGAACGGAATTTTTGAAGGGGGAAATTCCCCCTTGCCTCCTTTAAAAGTTACCCTGTATGTAATGACACCCCTCTTAACCACATTTGCAAATGACAAAAGTGACAAATATGTAGAACGCGTTAGCCCCGTCCATTTTGCAACATAAAATACAAAATGCTGCGTGCCCATACCATTCTCATTCGGTGCCTATTGGAGCTTTCTTTATGTGATCTTTGTGACATTCGGTCCCGATATTTTGGCCGGCGGCGCCATTCTCAAACGCACTCCATCGCTCTCCTCACCCTCCATGGAGGATTGGCGTCGAACTCCTCGCTAATATCCGTTACTCAAATGTCCGTCACTGCACAGTGCACCGTTTTCTCCCAGTGCGTATAAGCAGATGCAGTTACAGACTTGTGCAGAAATCCAGCAAGTAACCTAATCTAAACCGCATCTTAGCAATGGCGACTGGGGACAATAATTAAAGTGCACTCACCAAAAAAACTCTTACCTCAGGGACACGAGAACCATGGCGAATATGAGGTATTTTCCCAGTAAAGGCACTACTAATGAAGTCGGCGGAATAATCTCCACGACCAGCAGGAAGAACACGTAGAGCGATGTGAGAATGGAGATGGACAGCGTCACCTGCGGACAGGGTAGGGGACACGTAGAATAATCTCCACGACCAGCAGGAAGAACACGTAGAGCGATGTGAGAATGGAGATAGGCAGCGTCACCTGAGGACGGGGTAGTAATTCACACTATCTCAGCACTAACGTATGGCAGTTTAGCTATGACGGCAATACACGGCAGTCTGGCTATCACAGCAGTTATCACTCGGCAGTTTCACAGCAATACGCGGCAGTCTGGCTATCACAGCAGTAATAAACGGCAGCTTGCGCATCACAGCAATATACGTCAGCCTGGCTATCGCAGCTACACACGGCAGTAAAACTATGCACATTGCATGGCAATCTGGCTACCCCAACGTTCATTGGAGGCCCACGACAGTTTGACTATCACCAGAAACACTGGTGGATCCAGGATGGGGGGTGGGGGGTATTTGGGGTAAATGCGTCCCCCGCAGCGCCTGAAATCGACGAAGATTTGTGGTTTTCGAGAATAAAACAAAAACTGAGCAACTTTTATGAGTTTTTTTTACTGCAAAGCAAACTGTCACA